AATAGGAATTTGATGCAAGGCCCGGACCAGATCTATTTTCGAAAACACGGATGAGATGACATAGGGTTGATATAGAGCCAATGATTGTGTCCAATTGGCACTATTGAACCATTTTAATTATCGCTCGCAAATAATTGGTTATTTAAATAAGCTGTTTAGGACCCTAAATTAAACTTTCCCCCTGAAGACAATCGTCAGCACGCTCTTCTGATGACTGGGATAGAGGGGAAGATCACTGCCAAAGTCTATAATCGCTTCCTTAGGTTAAAAATTTGTGAAAACTGTATACCTAGAACAGAACATCTCTCGAAGCATTAAATAATAGTCGGGGGTTCTGAATTTCGAATTGAGAGGTGGGCATGATTACCATATCTAGTTTGAGCACAGAAGGAAATACGGTGCTTTTTTCATGTCTACTGTCTTCAATCACGTCAATCAGCAAACTTGTTATGTCAAGTTCTGCTTAATGGAATAATTGGCCGTACAGCTGAATGTCGGCTTTGTTGTTCCATGCATAAGTTACCGCTCGTCAGCACTGTAGGACAGATAAAGCTACTCTGTGCTTGAAGTCTGATTAGACCGACAATAGGTTTACTGGACGCTTCATGCAAACATTGGCTCCAACCAGGCTCGGTTAATTACACGCCAGTGAAAGATAAGTTGCATCATCTCCCCAAAGTCTGCGGAAGAAGACTGCTTACCAGGTGTTGCAATCCTCCCTTGGGCCGTCAGGTGTTGTAGAATTGTCTTTGCCCGTTCCAGTTGAACGATTGTCACTTTTAGAGTCCATGCAGGCAGCTGCTTCAACAAGATGGGCAGTTTGCAATTGATACACTCCAAACATAACCAAACCGCTGCCAGCGGCAAATAAGACCAGCGCAGCCATGTGCAGATGGAAGAGCTTTTTGCGGGAACAAAATTTCTCGACACGTGGGGTGTCTTCGCTTGCTCCTGCTGTCGTAGTTGCCGCTGGTACCATCGCTTAAACAACTGATCTATGGATCACGAACAAGAAAATAATAAAGAAGGAGGAGTAAATGCAATTGCAAATTCAGAGATAGTGAAGGGAGATTTGTCATTTGGTTTCTGGACAGACAGGTTTTCTCTGCATGCCGGTCTGATTTGACGGGCACGTAAGCATGCTCTAGCGATCACTGGGGCTAGTTTGTTTTATTGCAAACTACTTGCCATTTTTGGCTCTTTTATAATTAAATCAACGATTCAGGAAGTAGTTTTTGAGGCAAGCCCCAAGCAACTAACAACTTCATTCAAACTACAATTAGATTTGAAGTTTTTTAAATGTAGCTAGCTGCCCTAGCATCACAGCGGGGAAGCACTATGCATCAATCCAGACCGCGGTCTGCCTCAGTAATCCCCTGACAAATTCGATTGTCCAATTCAAAGGGCCAATGGGCCAATCGCGGGAGGTGCATTTGCAAAATGCTGCTTCGATCGGTAAAACTGAAGACAATACTATTTTTTAAAAAACTTTTTGTTATCTAGGAAATAGCATTTGGACCTCGAAACTTAATTGAACTGCAGCTTAGCATGGACAGGTAGTGTCCCTTCATGTGCTCATAAACGCGGAGATCTGGTGATGATTACTCGCTAGGCATTCACACAATAAAATCAAAATAAAAAGCAAAATGATATTTGATAAAACGCAGAAATGCATGTGGAATAGACGGCAATCGTTATGAATTACCAGTCAATGCACGGACTCCGGAATTGCAAAGCTTGATCCTCTAATGCACACTTTTATACTGGATAGAGTGACCTTCAAAACTGCCAATCACCTTGCACAGAGACATGCCGAGAACAGCTGATTCTCACGGCCTGATATTCGGTTCTTGCACGCCGTGCATGCCACTGTATATTCATTTTTTCCTTTTGGCCTTCTGGTAGTAAGCACTTTTTTTCCATGCACGCTCTCTTGTCATCCTTATTCAAACTGAAATGAGGTATTTCCCGTCGGTGAGCGATGTTGTTGAAGAAAAATTTGCTTTTCTGATCTTTGTTAGTTTTCTTTTGTGCCTGTGTGTGTGGTGGAATTCCTTCCAAGAGGCTATCAATTTCAGTTTGACTGTAGCTTTACACTACAGTGCCTATCGAGTCAAAGGCCATTTACATTTGCGTGGTTTTTTAGGTATAGGTTTGAGCTACTATCTAGCACTCATTGAACGCAAATGAGACCGAAGAGCACAGAGGAATGCATAACTTACAATCAGAGCATTTGCTTGGGATCGCCGTCTGCCTTAGACTGGCAACATTATAATGTAGTACACGAAATATACTCAT